ATAGTTGTTCTTGCTCATTGCAGTGAGATTATTTCATTCCATCTATTTTAGGATAGGTTTCTTCACTATTCTTCTCCAAAAATTCGATAAGGAAATAATGTATTTATTATAAAGAGTCATAACTCGCACATCTCTAAAAATGAATATCGACTACATGTGAATAATTTTATGATCGTAATACCTTTCGTTTCTGCGATTGCTTATGAGTAATGTTGATTGTAACCTTTTTTTCTTGTGTACATATTTATACGGTTTTTTCCAACTTGTTGAAAAAAAAACAGAGCCTGAGGAAGCATTTCATAAAAGGAAGAATATAAATGAAAAAAGCTCTCCTTTATGACTACATTTTTTTGCAGAAATTGAATATAAAACAAATTCAAATTCAACATGAATTTCGAACGTCGCAAATATGAAAACAAATCTCGAAATAAAAATAACAATTGCAATATCCGTTCAAATTTAGAAAGATCATCTTCTCAAACTTCAATTAATAAAAATCAAGAATTAACTATTCAATATGATCGTCGGCATTGTCCATATCAACTACTTTGTAAGGAATTTATTTCAAGTCTTTCTTGGCCTGAAATATACTTTAATAATCTATATGATCGTTGTTATTGTTTTCGATGTTATTCTGAAAATAAATCTGATGCATATTTAATTGCTAATTCTCCATATGTTATTCCACGTGGTTGGGTTCGTTTTGGTATACATGTTGATAATGTAAAAGCACAAGTTGAAGATATATGGAAAAAATGGCATAATACTTATCATGGTACAGATATTCATTCAGCTCTATCAATTATTAAACATGGACAATTTCTTTTAAAGGGTGACACATTTGAAAATGGTGATCAATTGAATTGTAGATGTCCTTATTTATATACATCACCAACAATAAAATATTCAGCAAGAAATGCTTATGCAAAACCAAATCGCTTTGTTACTTCCAATGGTGAATGTTTTATAGCTAAAATTGTGCTACAATGTAAACAAAAACCGGGAACATACAATATACAAGGAGCTACTGGTAATGCTCGACGTGAAAAAAAAATTTGTAATATTATTTCAAACGATAAAATTGAATATTATACTGATATTCGAGCTTCAGTTATACCTTATGGTGTTATGGTACAATTAACTGCAGTTGATACATAACAAGTAGTTTTCTTCTGTCTTGTTAACTTTTCTAAATAACAAATATTTGAATCAATAATTATCAATAAAAAGTTTTTAAAACTATATAGATTATAAAATCAGAGATTTTTGTGGAAAACAATTTAAAAGGAGTGTTCGAGTGGATATCACCTTCTCTTAAATCTAGAGAAATTTACGTTTTTCTTCAACACCGTGTCACACTGCAATATGTTACAATTAATATCTGTATCATCGACATGCATTAATAGTAGTTAGGAATTTATAAACTATAACATATATTGATTAATCCTATCTTTTACCGTACTGGCAGCTCTATCATATGTCACATTATAATTCCGAAAGAATTACACAAATAGCTTTTTATATACTATGAAACATGAGGCATCAGATATGTTAAAATGAGCTCTTAAATGTCTTTAATGTTTATTCTGGATTTAAAAACGTTTCTCAATCAAAGATTATTTGTTAGTTTTGTATAAACAAAAGAAAAAATTAAGACTAAACTCGAGATAAAGTTTTCGTTATCCTATCTTATGAATATATAAACATCCTATCCTATTGTTTTCTCATATGTACTAATAATCCATAAGGTAGAATAGTTGATCGTGTACGAGTTTTCCATTTTATTTCATTTGCTGGAATAATATTACATAAACCAGATTGACCATGATTTACTTCAAATGTATTTGGTTTTTGTTTACATTGTAAAATAACTTGAACTTCATAAGTTTCATTTGATTTCGAAGTAAAAACATGTTTTTGACAAACTTTTAAATTACTTGTATAATAAATAGATGGTGATGTATAACAAATACCTTGATCAAAAAACTTCGGTGCAAATATTTCTTTATTTAATAATCTATCACCTGGAAAAGGTATAAAATGCATACATAAAATTTGTTCAAGTTGATCTATTGATGTACCATAGAACGATATAGGCCATGTTTTAAAAATATCTTCATTTTCACAAGAAAATCTATAAAATTTTAAACCAAAACGCATCCATCCACATGGTATTGTATATTTATAACCTCCAATTATAGATGTTCTCGGTCTATTCATTGAATAATGTCTTGAACAATAACATCGATCATAATTATGATTAAAATATTCTTCGTGAAGATTTAATGTTTGAAGAAAATCACTATAAACCGGTTGAAGACAACTGGTCTTATCTCGAGTAATCATATGACTCTTAGGTGATTTAGGTGTAGAACTTATTTTAACTGATTGTTTTCTTTTTTCAACAAAGTGAGAAATACTGGCAACGGGATTCATGGACGGCTTCGGTTGATCTAGTTCTTGAGCATTATGTTTTGCCACGTTTCGTGATTGACCTTTAGAAGGAGAGCGTGATTTATTTACGCATATAAAGCAAGCAATCATCAGGGTGGGTGTGGGTGTGGGTGTGGGTGTGGGGTGGGGTGGGGTGGGATGTGGGGTCTGGGTGAATTGCACATCTACATCAACAAACCACGAAACACCCACATCCACATCCACACCCACATCCACACCCACACCACCCACACCCACACACCCACACCCCACACCCACCCACACCCACACCCACACCCCACACCCCGCACACACACCCCGCACCCACACCCCAAATTGAAACGTGCATTCGTTTTGAGGGTATGACTATAAACTCGATATATTTGAATGACAAAGAGTGACACCCTTCAGTTTGATTTTAGCTGTGATTAAAAATTGTCGCTCGACCAAATAAAGTATGAAGTTTGGTACTAATGGCTCGAGTATTTTCTGATTATGTTTTGCGTTGCCCATGAAATGAAAGATGATATTTCTTGAGAGATTGGCTCTCATTTACTATCTGATCAGAACTAAAAGACTGCACTTTTCAATTCTAATAAACCTTATAATAAAAAGAAGAAAAAATGGTATGTGATTTTCTTTTTAGTTTTAACTATTAAGTCTAATTTCAATTTGTTTAACAGTAATTGGATTCATATATTGTTTATGTTCATTGAAGAAAGTTTGTACACTTGGCATCATTTCTGGCCATGATGATTTAAATTCTGTATACAATGGTTTAACAAATTTCATTCGACCAATCATTTCAAGAAATTGAAATATATTATCTACGTATTTCTCATATTGAACACGTATACATAATTGATACCAACGAAAACGTATTTCGCAGTTCGTGTATTGTGACAGATCACAATTATTATCAAATTGTTTTATATAATCATAAGTTATCTTTGATTGTTCATTAAGAAGAAGATTTAATAGATAAGCAACTTGTTTTGCGTTTAACATCTTCATTTGTTCTTTTGTAATAGGTGATTGTTGAATAACTAATTGACGACATTTTTCTTCCATTTGTGTAGAAAAATCATGTGTTACTGGAGGCATACCGGGAGTATAAAGCCATGATTGCCAATTTACAGATCGTGCTTTAGGAAAATGCGATTCAAAATATCGAATGAAATCATCAGTATTGAGAATTTTTTGTCCAAATTTATTTATATATGAACGAAGAAATTCATCAAAATCAGATTCAGATCCAACAATATTTTGTTCGAGATGCCAAAGTAGAGCTGCACCTTTGTAATATTGAACTAAAGAAAATAGAGAAATTAAAATCTTTTTTTCTCTTCAATTAAAGATAATATCTAAGAATCTACCTGCACTATATGCATCATCCGGATCAATATTATTCAAACGATAAACAAGACAAGTATATGGGTGTGTTGGTCCCCATGAATCAATAGCAGTTTTTAATTCTTCCCACTGTTGAGCAGCATGAAATCTTCGAATTTCTTTTCCATTTGTTTTGTCTAAATTTCCAAGTACTTTTGCTTCAATAAATGATGTAAATCCTTCATTTAACCAAAAATGTTCCCAATTTTCATTAGTTACTAAATTTCCTATTGAAAATCAATATTCAATCAGAAAAGAAAAAAATTCAATAGATAAGTTAACCTGTCCAAGAATGTGTCATTTCATGAACAATTGTACTTATTAATGAACGATCACCAGAAAGTAATGTTGGAGTAAGAAAATTCATACATGGATTTTCCATACCTCCATCTAAATAGATTAGAATAGTTTAATTCGAATTATTAACACTTACAGTGACTTTATCAAAAGTCTTATACTAACATTATTACTACTATATCGTCCATTTCAGAGATAAGTGGCTGTAGGGATTTTTTGAATAACTTTTGATAGGAACGAGATAGAAATCTATGGTTTTCACCATTGGAAAGAGCAGATGAAGACGCATCAAACCATAGATAAAAACAGTTTTCTAATGCTGTTACATAAAACAGCATAACTCTCATGGTCACGAGATTAATTTATTGATTTTCAGGGGTATGCTAGAACAGGCAAGCAAACAACTACAAAACTATTTCTAACTATTATCAGTGAGATACCCAAACCATCAGAGTTCAATTTATCAGCTTAGGTTTTTTGCAACAAATAATCGATTTTGATAGAAAAATCACTTTTTTAATATAGAAGACTTTGAAAACGTTTGACTAAAATTGTTCCTATATATGATTCGATGCGTCTTCATTTGCTCTTTCCAACGATGAAGACTGCAGGTCTCTATTTCATTCCTATCAAAAGTTATTCAAAAAATTCCCACGGCCACTTATCTCTGGAATGGAAAATCATTAACCCTTTACCATCATTGGCAATTGAAATTGCCACTTTATAGAATGATCGTAGAGAATAAAAGAAGTATGGGATTTAAAAATCGTAAGAACATTTTTGTAGTGAACTGTATGAACTATCGATTGATAAAAAAAATAATTTTTTTCATCGTTCTGTCTTTGAAATATTAGATCAACAAAATCGATAATTTTAGAAAAAATGAAAAAAATGGAATTTTTCGAAACAAATCGTTCTCTACTTACGGTAGATAAAGATCATTCGGATTTTCTATATGACATAAATTGATGAAACTGTCTACTAGTAAGTTAGATATGTTTTGAATGCATCGCGATAAGATGGCGAAATGCACGCACTAACATACATAAGTGACTGAGGAGCCATTATTAAGCATCTTTAGGACAATTAAGAAAAAAGGTAATACATGTATTATAAACCTCAGCTCATGAGAAGTTAGAATAATATTTGTTTTGAATTGAATACCTTCAGAAGTTATTAA